ATTGATAGGGAATCGTTGATCTAGTGCGGTGTTTGGATCGTATCTCTTTTTCTTGCGAAGCTCCACAACAAAAGTGAGTTTCACAGCCCCCTTTTTATCAATTTCTTGTTTTGGGGTGAAAAGCATGATTAATGAATGTTTGATAAATTTATATTGATTTATGAATCATGTTGTGAGCAATTTAATGTATACACCATTGATAATATGTTGAGTTTAAAAGTCCCTGTTTGTTACACTACTATTAACTCATTTTGAGCCTATGATTCTAGTGGATAGCGCTATTTGGTTGTTATACCCACCCATTCTACTGACGAGTAGGGGTGCACTTGGTCATTAAAATTTGCTCTACACATGTGAYACGAAGTGGTCACCGCTGAGGTAGTCCGGTAGGAGTTTTACACATGTGACACGAAGTGGTCACCTCTGAGGTAGTCCGGCACGAGTTCTACACATGTGGGGTTTTAATCCCACCGCTGAGGTAGTTCGTAAGTATGTTCTACACATGTGGTTCGCTACCACCTTTGAGGTAGTTCGTGGGGCGTTGAAAGTTGTTCAGGTTTAGTAGTGGCTCAACAAATTTATATCATGTGTATGACGTTGTTTTATTTTAAGATATTGCTCATAAATTTATAACTGAGATTGCTGCATTTAAAATCATTTTGTCCATATGAAACCTGTGAACTCAGCAACTCTTGTAGTTGACACTTGTTTTTGACGTGCTTTTCTGGGTAAGAAAGACTCTGGTGACGCTTATTAGAAGACGTGTCACATTTATCGCTTTCAAAATTTCTTTTGTGTTTATTTTGCAAACTTGTATTTGGGATTGTAAACTTTAGTTATGATGTATTTATGTTTTAAATTGTATGGTTGTGTTGTTTATACACTATTGCTATGAGACTCTACCTGTCATACCTCGCGATTCCGCTTTAGCGGGGTGTGACAATAATAAATAGGGAGTATGTGAAAGATCCATTGACRCACGAAGGTAGAAGTCAGGTGTGTATTACATAGCATAGCTACTGAATTCRCAAAGACTCCTTCCTCTTTTAAGTTAAGTGAGGAACTCGCCTGAGGGAAAGGRACTGCGACCTTCAACTCCCAAGATATATCATATAATATAGCATGTTGCCCTGAAGTAGGATTGGAATTATTTTCCTTCGGTCCATAAACGCAAGAATCGCGAGACGGCAGACATCGGCCGATGAGGCTAGTAGGGCCCTAGTCCTGTAACCATTTATAAGGGGCAATGATAATTCCTAACTGAGAAGTCACCACGAGACGAGCATAACAATCTTATTGTAACTTGAAAGAGAAGTGAATTTGTGAATGCCTAACTGAAYGTTCAAGATTGGATTCAGAAGCTGAGGCGACCGGAAGGGAGGCGAGCGAAGTGAGGCCACTTTGTAGTCCCTCTGCCAAAGAATTTCATAGAGATAAACGGTTCAGCTCCCTTCTAAGCCTTTAGAGGATTAGAGGAATCATCGATGAAAGTGTTACTTACTTACTTACGAAGATCGACTGGATAACCTTCTACTGACAGAGTGGTGGGTGCTACYGTCTTATCTTATCCCTTCTTCTTTTACCCCGGCCCGGGGCTGGTCATTCAGTTCAGTCAAGTTCATATGCTTTCCAACGTGGGAGTAAAGGGAGTTGGTAGCATTCCCCTGGCTTTCCATTTCCAATAAGTCTGGGATAAACTAGAAGACTAACTCCTTCCCCTCCTAGGGCTTCADCAAGGTGTCTATTCTGAGGCTTAGGAGAATGAAGCAGCCCCGGGTGTGAGTGAACTCCCCTCTACTTCCAGGCAATAGGACTAAACCTAAAGTATCTTCTCTTCTCCGGTTCTAGCTTACGTTTGAGTTTCCTCTGACTACAAGGTAATTTATCAGCTGGAGCAGAAGTGGACGAACAACACCTCCTTTCCTTGCATTAGTGCCCACTTTTCCACATCCACTTCAGGGAGAGAGCAAGTATAAATCATAGCTTTAGGCTTTCGAGCCTTTCTTCCTAGGACAGAAGCCTTTACTTGAACTTGAGCGGTTGTCTGGAACTGATGCTACACCTTGGGGCTGCAGTCCCTTCTTCTTAGCACGGATGTCCCTCTTCAATCCCCTGCTCCTACCATTGAAACAGTTAGGGGCTAGTAAGTCCTGCCAATATYAGGGAAAGAATAGCTCCCGAAGGGCTTCCTTCTTTATCTAAGCTACTAATAGGCTTGGGTGGCTAGKGCACATGCTATCGAGGTTACACGCCTGGTCCCGAAACCACATMTGGCAGATGCGATTCCTGGATGTAGTTGGATGTGATTATCGGTGAAAGCATAGAAGGATCTCCTGTSAATAGTCACAGGGAATTACACTATAGCTTTAGGACCTGACCTGTAATAGGTGGTGTAAATGTCCTTATTTATTATAGGATGAAGATGATTCACTCACCAAGAAGACCGTCTACTCGAGCAGTAAGAGTTGATTCAATTGCCAACAGAAGACCGTCTGCGACAACAAGATCATCAGCAGCAGATGATTAAACAGCGGATGTGTTGAGGAGATCAGCCCTAATTGAAGACCTGATACTCTCAACTAAGAACTTCTATATATAACACCAACCGCGGAACAGGAGCATGCATTACACACGTTGTCAGCTAACGGACGCAAGCAGAGTGGGACCTTCTCCGATATTAATCTTTCATCATAATATTGAAAGCTTCCCCGCCCGATGCTTTGTTAATGTCAGAGTTGATATCAAGATGAAAGGGAAAGACAATAAGAAAGATTCAAGATAAAGACTAGAAGAAGGGGCTTTCTTAGAAGAATTCCCACTTGGACTGGTAGTGAGAACCCGATCTCCAGAAGCTAATTGGCAAGGTTCGACTTGACCGGAGCGGATCGCAACTSAAGCACAACTAGAGTTCACTCACCCACGTGCCCAATACTTGATGTGATGACTCTAGCCCCATGTCGGCTTCATTGACGAGTCATGATGCTGCGATATAGGATCAAAATCGACTTTCATTTCACTTAACTCATCAAAGCAAGGAGTGGCTACTAGATAGACAATTAGTTCCGAGACTAAGAGATTGGGCTATCDGCCGGTATCAGTTGAAGTCAACAAAGAAGGAAAGCCTTCCCCCAATCCAACATTTTCAGGTGAAAAGAAGATAGATGACTGAGAGTCACGGGATTTTGAAAGCRCCGCATCTAGCTCAGCAGTTTCTTCAAAAGAGATGACGGATACAGAGCGGTTACCACTTGTAGGCTCATTCACCAACTAGGCCATGAGTTTGCTTTAACGAGTGCATGAGCAGAAGCGGAGATAGAGTTGTCCCCCGATCTGAGATATTAGCGAGATTAGCTACACGCCACTTAACCTAAAGAAAGGTCGACATGGGAAAGCCCTTTTTAAGCTGATAGGAGAACTTCACTTACTAAATTTCTTGAGTAGCGAGAATCTTTCCTCAGAGGCACGGAAAGGGTCCAAGCCATAGGAAAGACAGCAACTTGAGTGTGGAGGAGGGGAAAGGGCGCTCGAAGCAAAARGAACGAAAAGCACACCATATAGGTCAGCGGCATCAGCAGTTGAAGAAGTTGACGGCCGGATTCAAGCAAAAAATGGGATAACCTGAGAAGGAGAGGTCTCCTTTCTATATGAAAGACGAAGATCTGGCTTTGAAGCCTCCTTGAGTCCGGCTTAGCTTCAGGTACGAGTCAAGAACAGAAGAAGGGGATCGCAACAATCAAGAAGCAAGCTAAAAGCTGTTGTTTAGATGACTTTATGTTATGAAAGAACCCAGAAAAAAGTAATTATTGGAGTAGCCCGCCCAGTAGAGGCTTTCTTAGCGAAAAAAGTCTATTCATGGATGAATTAGGGGAAARAGTCTTCACCTTACTTTCAAGTGTCAATCATTTTTATTGAACTTTCTTTCAGGCTAGCTCTGGGCAGGGCGCATACACACGAACCCACTTTGAGTCGGATCCGAGCTCCAGTAGACAGTGAGACAGCCATTGTGGTAAACGGGAGAAAAGCAAGGGAAAGAGAGGTAAGTGACGCCAAGGGGAATTCCAGCACRAAAGCAAGTGTTGTTATCACACGTCCGTCCTGTCTGATTGATTCACCTTCGATTATTCAATCAAGGAAGCAGAGTCAACGGCCTTTGAAGAAAGATGACTTATATTTTAWGATATTGAGTTGGACAGTCAAAAAGCCCAAAGGCCAAAAAGAAGAGCAAAAACAGAGGAGATGTCTTCCTCATAGGCCATTGACTATCTATCCCCGGAGTCTTTCTCTCCGTCAAAGGGACTCTCTCTTTCTTGAACAAGCACGGYGCTATCAGGACAAAATCCTAGCAGAACCAGAAAAAGAGGAAGAGGAAGAGAAAGAGGAGCGAACAACCACTATAACATCGTTAGATGAGYTTCAGTTGCGCCCCTTTGTGAACGAGGGGATCGAAAGCCAAAGGAAGTACGACTGAGTTTCAAGACTACGAGACTAAGAGTTGGGACTAGCCACATGTCATCTTTCTCAGAGTCTGAGCCTGACACCTCTATTATTACATCAAACAACAATTGAATTGGGATCAAAGAATTAAGGGATTGGATTTGTCCCCGTCTGTCTTGTGTTCAACGAAGGAAAGCGCCCTTCCTTCTTCAGCTTGAAAGACATCTCAGGAAAGAGCTACTTCAACTGAAGAAATTTCTTTAGTAGCGAGAACCCTTCCTACTCGAGAATAAGGTTACGAAGTGAAGCGTTTTTTCAGTTTTTCTTTAAAAATCTAGTAAGTGTTATGTGGGGGTGGGGATTCAGACCGATGAGGGACGTAGGAATTGCCCTTAACTGTCCGRAAGGCTGAAATAGCTTTCTCGGGAGCCTCTGGGAGGTCGGGGTATTCAATCCCATGATACTCAAGGAG